GGAGTCATTTGTCGTTGACGTTGGCGTCAGAGACGCACAGCTTCTGCTGTAAGTGCTCTGATAGAGCGTTTTCATAACTTGAAAGCGTCTCTAGGCGCGCTCTTATGGCCTCGGGCCCTTGCGCAACGAGGTTCTCCACGCCCTTTGAGCTCTGCAGGGACATCAGCTTATTAAGCCCGTCCTGCATGCCCTGGGGCATCCTCACAGAAGTTTTCGTAACGACTCAAGCTCTAGATTGACTACAAGTGCTACCAAGTGCAGCGGGGCTGCCGTAGCTCTTTGCTTAGCTGAAGTAAAGCTAAGGTCGCCGACCTTCGTTCTTTCCAATAACAAGTACTAGTGCAGCGGATCGTAATTCGCTACTTCTTAGTACTAAGAGCCTGAACCAGGGCAAACGAAAACTTCTGCACAAAAAATCAAAATTGTATTTAATTGTTCTGGTGGCGGCAGAGTCGTCGTTATCTGAAACCCTGGTTTTCCGAATTAGTATAGTAATACAGCAAAACCTAATTAATATAGTAATATGCATTTCTACTGGAAATTCTGTCGGTATAGCCACACCACTGTGTGATTACAGTAACTTGTGTAATACACACCTATGTACGGTCACACCGTCTTGTGCGACCCGCCCTTGCATACATCGGTACGTGTAACCCCGTTACAACTTTGCATTTAGGGCATTCATCAAGCCGCACCCTTTCAAGTTGCTTGCCAAGTAGGCTAGTCATGTTATACAGACAACTTTGTTGTAAGGATAGCAGAGCAATCGTGCAACATGCGCTTTCATAAAAGAACTTCTAAGAAATTTTGTGGAATGCAACACATGTTGCATCTGATCCGTACGCTGCACCGATTGGTGACGTCACCATTATGAAATGATAAACTTTGAGGTCGGTTCGACACAAAACCGCATCTATCACGACCCAGCAATTACCTAATCTCAAAGGGATAAGAGTCTTACCATTATCTGATTGGGATATCGTGAGGACGTTGCTATGCGAGAGAACGAGATCTATATAGGTCACAAACTGCTTAGAGTCGAGCAAAGGTTTTTCTGAACTTGATGAGAATATCTTTTAGTGCAAGTAGCTGCTTGTCAAGATCAGGGGAGTTCTTCTCGGTTGTACTCGAGGAGTGGTAGTCGAACACAAGATCACGTATTCAGACCAATTGTCTTCTTCTTTGAGTAAAGTGCAGTCTATTACAAAGGCTGAAGCTTCACAGACGTCGAAAATACGATCTGATTTTGGACGAGCTAGAATTGGGGTACGAATGAGACATTCTTTTGAAGCGTAGAAGGCCGCCTCTGCTGCCACTCATAGCATTATTTAGCAGGTTTCTTTACGAGGGTGATGAGCGGTCGTAATATGTCGGTTTATCCAAGCAATAATTCATTTGGGGCAGATGCACTGGTTAATCTTTGCCAAATCTGGCCACGGCATGCTTTCCAATGATGCAAACAAAAACTACCAAATGCACACTTGTCTTTAGGTATAATTGATTTTCGCGTATGCTCAAACACTCTTAGCCATTTTATCAATCTGAATTTTACAGTCTTTTCGTACTTTATAAGGCATTCACCGCAGATAATGGGATATTGCTAATCCTATCCACCAGTTGATGGTATCTATCAACAAAACAATGCACTAAAAAAGTGTAGCAAATTATGCTGTTATGAAGCTTTTCCTTGCTGTTATCAATGCTTGCACAGGAATCGCGGCTGCTCTTTGCTTATTACAACCTACCGCGAGCCTTTCAAGCACGAAAAGTCGTCACCGAGTGAAAAGATTTTATCTCTCTCACCAAATTCGCTTTTTTTCTTGCACGGATTAAATCGTCAATGACGTCGCCTTGGTCACTGGCGGGGGTCATTGCGTTGTGACGCAATGCCCAAATCTAGAAGCCAATTCAATTTAATGACGCACTATTCTATCCTTAGTAAAACGCCTCGTGTGTCTCTCGTTACCATGTCGTAATATTCCATCGACGAAGGATAGAAAAGATCTAAGAAATATCTGGATCTATCTGTACTGCTCCTCGCGTGCCATGCTCTTCAAAAGTCTTCAGTTACAGAGCAGTTCGATACAGATGACGAGCTTAGTTTTCCTTCCGGTTCTGACCTCACAATTCGGTTATTTTGATGACTTGCTATTCCTCTCACATGCACCCGGGGCTAGTTTCATAAGTGCTATTACTTGAGGTATTAAAGGTAAAGACTCATAAAGTGGGTATTCTTTCTCACCACTTACCCTTGGTACGCGACGCAGTAGTGCTGAGTCCGCAGTAACATTTCCTCCCCATCTTCAGGGACTGACGCGTTTACTCGCAACTGACGACTGCCCTCCAGATCCTTGGGCTCTAATCTAGCAATTGTTGCACCAAGTTGCTTCTACTCTTCACCTGCCATGGACAGCTAAAAACGTCTTGAAGCTGTAGTGGTTGTCCAGCAAAGGAGACATTCCGAGGCCATACCATAAATCCATTCCTACCCGTCTTCTCTGGAGGCCACGACTATTGATGATTTGCCCTTTGCTCAAGGCATCTAGCAATATAATTGCTATTCAAATCGGACGTTTCACGTCCTGCACGGAAACTATCACAACGTCGTTCCATGACTCGCCAGAGCGTCTCGAAGAGATATCTCCGTGGCGCCAAAAAATGTGGCTTCCAGTCAAACCATGGCTTGTACCGTTTCCGCCACGTCAAACCAAGGTTGAGATCATATTACATATTCAGGTCCACGAGGAGGAAATGTTACACGTTGTAAAAGTCCTCAGGCTATACTTGAAATTCAAAATAGCTTTGGATACTTTACTGGTAGCACTGTCAGAAGACGCACAGAAATTTGTCGTCTTCAATGCCTCCGCCTACTGTTCACTATTTTGACTGTCGTGTGCAGTATGTTATTGCACAGCACTCCTGAATACGCTGTTACAAAACCTAGGACGTTGATTACGATAACTAACAGCCGTAGGCCGCGAGCTTCACCATTTTAAGGAACAGCTGCTTTTTGTAGAGGCTGACCACTATCTATACAACAGAAAAAGCCTAATTTTTCTGCAATAACAATACTTCCTGTGATATATTTGTCAAACGATGTTGACTAGAGACTTGACCCTTTGAGCCTCTAAGCCGAGAGAGAGGAGGGGGCAGCAAGGTATAGTCTTATGTACATTTTCATATAACTCTTTTTGAGTTACAGCGGGGGTGCTCAGCATTCAACATATCTAGATTTATCCCAGCATGGCGAAAGTCCAATGCTCTCTGGCGCGCTTATAAGTACATCATCTAATAGCTGCAGCACAAAAGTGTGTGTACTTTATTCGTTACGATATCCACCGCCTCCTCGAAAGAAGTAGGTGGGCGCGGAAGGTTTTGGTGCGATTCAAGCTTGTGTGAGACCATACATGAAGATGGTAACCGATACCGATGGTTAGGTGCTATAACGATGATAAGAGCCATATACGTTTAGAGATGGCTCACCAGTTTTGCTTCCCTTGACTGGCGAAAGTACTTCAAACTCAACCTTTACGCCGGTTTAGGCGTGTTGGAACATCCGTGATATGTATCGCTTTAACTCTTCTCGTGTCGGAGGACATCTCTCGCACAGATACTGTACGTTATTGCCCATTCCTACTCGTGGTCTCTTATTCAGACACTGCAAGCACGGCACGCTTCCGCTCTATTTGATTCACGGCCAAATTTTAGCTTTCATGATCAGAAAGAGAGAACTTTTCGTCCGGACGTTCAAAGATTTGGACTCTCAACATCAGCGACCTCATTGTGGGTCCCATGTGTTCAACCCTGATGCATTGTTGGGGCGATTGAGGAGGTGTCTCCTCCAACTATCGCATTTTTTCATCTGGTGATCGTCTCTAGTATAGCAAATACTCGATCTAGCCAGTTGCCTGCCGAATCCTGCTCCCGTCGGGACCACATTAGCTTACTAAGCCGGACTAGTTGTCCCATAACAAATCTCATGCTCCAACTCACATCAAATGCAGTTCTTTCACGACTGCGCGATGAGGTTGCTGTGTAGAAGAAGCTTAGACTTAAAAAGTTGGCATTTACAAATGCACACTACTCGGGATTGTCCGCTCTACCTACAAGCTGGCCCAAGAAACTTTATGTGATGGGTTACACGTGCCTTGGTATGAAAGGGTGGGTCACACATGATGGTGTGACAGTACAAAGGTGTGGATTACACAAGACTGTGTAATCACGCAATGATGTGGCTACACCATAACAAGATGCCATTACGTGGCGGGACTGCCAGTAGTTATGCACATTAATTCAGCTTTACAGTTCAATGCGGAAATCCTCGAGATTTAAATATAGGCGGCTCTGCCGCAAGTAAAACAGATAACGCAGTTTTAATTTCAAACGGAAGAGTGCACTTTTTGCCTTGGGTTAAGGTTTTGGATAATTTTCGAGATAGCGGATTGCGATCCGCCACACTCATACCGGTTCTAGTATAGAACGTAAGGTCGGTGACCTTTGAAAGCTTCCTCTAAGCAAAGAGCTACAGCAGTCCCGCTGCACTATAAATTTATATTCCCATTTTTTATCACTGATACTACGGCACAATTATATCTTGTTGTATTTGATACAATGGCAAACCAATGAAAGTTAATTTTCCCGCCACACTAAATGTACATCAATCTAGAATTTATGAGCAATTTTTATATTAAGTGGAGAAAGAAAAAAAACACTTTAGTGGTGGTATTCATTCTATAGAATAATCATTCAATCTCTCTTTGCCGTCACAATTGACACCTACTCTGTCCAGATCACGTCAACACCAATCAATTTTCAAATGTAGATGAAAACGCTCAAATGAAGAGTTTCATTAGCTCCGTTATGACCAAAAGAGTGTGCCACTAGTTTAGTGTGTCACGCTAGACGTACTGGCCAAAATCCTGATGCAAAAGTCCACGATCTACAACAATGTAGCGGGCTGCTCCTTTTGCCGAGAAGCAAACAAGACTGTCGATCGATGCTCAGACACACGTGAGTTGGCCCATTCGACTAAACGCAGCTACTGCGTTATTCCATTTTCACTTGTTTCGCCTTCAGGTACGTATTGGCGAACTCTGCTGCAGGGCTTCCAGATCTACGCAAATCATTCACTGCGTCTTCATACTTCTTCGCGACATCATGGACTTCATTTGAGTTTACTGTAGTTTTCTGCGACTCTGGGATATCTTTGAGTATCCCGGCTTCACTGAGCCACTTATCAATTATTCTACGGGTCTGGCTGTCCACTACCATACTTTTTTTGGGAGCTTTCTTGATCTGGTTAACGAGATCGGTCAGCTGTAGCCTATTTGACAGAATAGCAAAGAGAACATCATATGCTTTGTCGAGCGGGGTTTCGCCGACCTTGTTGGAACTTTTTTGACTGGTGAAGAAATCGTAAATCGACCGAAACCATTTTTTGAATGACCCGCTATGAAACAGATTTTCATTTGTTTGAAGCTTGAACTGATCAAATTTTTTCGCGAAATGTGATATTGGGTCTTGCACTTTACCACTGCCATCAAACCTCAATGTGAAAGACTGCAAACCAGCACTGATAGCCTATAGCATTTCGTTCACGCCGATCTTTTGACTAGATAGACGACGGCTTTGCATCGCAGTCACCTTTCTCAAGTGTTGATGACCTTGAAATTCCATGTTTAAAGCTGCCAATGTGACTGTCTCGGAGCAAACAAGAAACGCAACGATAGCTAGTGCTACCGTCCGGTGTAGACGAATCAAAAACCTTGGCTCGGTCGACATAGGTAACGTGGGGTAGGGAGCTCAATTCAAATTAGATTGTGACAGAACAGATTAGCATGCCTTGTGGATTGAACCCTGGGTTGCATGCTGCTAGAATTGCTGAGACGAAGTCGCTTAAATGACAGCCAGAGCCAGTGAAAAGAAAGTCCAAGCATCTAGAACCAGATCCAACTTATCATATTCCCATGGAATCAATCCAGAAATATTGGCATCTAACTGATGCGATTGAAAACAAAATTTTTTATACTGAATATTTGTGACAAATCAGGCAATATCCGGTTCATCAAGAATGATCTGGTCTCTCCCTCGTACCATCGTTAATAAAAGTCCGACAGCAATTTGATCTAACAAATTTGTCGATACGATTCAGAATTCCTCAAAGTATGCAGCATAACATCACAACTCTCGCTTAAGTAAAACAATTAAGACGCGCAAAACAACTTTTCCTTTTTAAAAGATTAACGCATGCAGTATCTCTATATAGGCTGAAAATCGACAAATGCTTTTAAATGTAAGACATTCACTTAGAATGTCTTACATTAATGCAGCGAAGCTATTTAATCGAATTGAAGAGAATCAAAAACCTGTTGTATCAAACATCACATCGTTTTTCAGAAAAAAGATGGTGGTACCCTCGGTGGAATCTGATCCTGATATAAAATAGAGGCTATGCACCAGTATTAGAAATTTTCGCTACGGTACTTTCTAGAATCTAGTCGACTTAACAATATACCCCGAAAAAATATTAACTTTACATCGTTCTACGTTAAACTTTACATTATGTGATTCACCATCATGTGACACTATAGAACATAATTTCTTGGCAAACTTGATTGATTTATAATAGTTCATATTGCAAAGATTCCATACATTCACTCAGACTTCATCTATCATGGTACACTTTACAGTACTTAAAAGAACTACATATTTTGTTTCTGTAGGTACCTACGGTACCCTGTACAGCTGAAGTGTACCACGATAGCTTAGTGTAAATCAGTCTGAGTGTACAGTACGTACACTGGTCTTGCACATGTGCACATACAGTTGTGAAAATATACATAAATTATCTGTAAAAATGAGAATATTCGAAGTAGTTTTACTTTTTGTAACGGAACATGTAGAATGCACTCAAACCTACACATTTTGGTACATTTACACAAAATTCACATCACACTTGGTGTATATCTAAGTACCGAATATGAAAGGATGGGATTCCATAAGGAGAAACCCATGCCTTACATTGGTTGCCAGTCACACGTTAGTCAATTTAGACAATTGTACTAAGAGTGTTAGTGACACGTATATCGTTAGTCTAAATAGAATTAAGTCACAATACATAAACTTTTGAAATAGCGGACTAAAGTAGTGCTTGTTACCTAAGATGTAACGGGGTTACACATATCCTGGTAATAGAGGTGTGTGTCACACCAGATGGGCATGGTCTGACCACACCAAAACAAGAATACGGTACGGGGCTGGTAGCCAGTAGTTATACATGTATTTGGATTTTACTATACATATTGAGGAAAATCTATGCATTTAAAATTAGGCGGCTTTGCCGCAGATAGAAATAAATAAAGTCAGATTTAAATTTAAACCGAAGAGTTAATTAACCTTGGGTTACGGATATAATTACTCTTGGAGTAAGCGGATTGCGATCCGCTAACTCATACTAGGTTCTGGTAAAAAACGAGCGGTCGGTAACCTAAAGTACACTGCCTAAAGCGTCTAGCTACGGCAGCTCCGCTGCAATATAAATTACACAATTGTGTTGCAACATTGAAAGTTTCAGAAACAAGGGGATTTTGAACTCAGACACCACTATAGCTAAGAGCTTTAGGATGACGCTGAAGAAAGATCACCCTCTATGATAATGCGAATTGCGAACTCCGATCTAGACCTTCGTAGTAAGAGAGACTTATGCGATTGACGTATTTTTGGGGGGCACAGAAGACAAATGGCCTTTGGAAATCTTACGACTGTACACCGATCCAGTTATCTTTTGACTCTTATAGCTCGAAAAGTAATCACGACAAGCGTGATACACTTGAATGCTGATTGCTAGTTGATGCATTCGAGCTTATTACTCCACAACTGCTCTTTGGATTCAAGATGTTTTCGATTAGTAACCTCATTCACTTTGACTAGAATAATTGGGAAATCCTTGACATCAGATTTGTCAATGTACTCATTAATTGTACCGGCTTCATTCTGTATATGTCATATCGATCACAATGTTGCTTTCATCAGAAGCTCAATTCATTGATAGTTGATCCAATGTACATATCGTTAGACTTCGAACAAATGATTTTGTAGAAGCGATCGATCATGATGATTCCAATTGTATCAATGTGATTTGCAATATATCCTGGTATCATCTTTCATGATCGGCCCACTTGTGTATTTCTTGAACAGATTTTCGATCTCATTTTCTAAGGTAATATAGCCAAAGAACGGTGAATTGCCCACAGTGACCAAATTGAGGATCTTTGATATTCATTTTCGCATAATTGTAGTCCTTTGGGATGACGCGTGGTCTTTGAAGACCCAAACTATTAAATCCTTATCTTTGTTTGAAATAGCGCACTTATGGCTCCGGCCAATTTGTGTGGTGCCAATATTGAGAATGCAATAGTATTTGCTCTAGACTAGATTATGTTTGCTGTCGATTTGATCCACCTTTACGCCAGGAAAATCTACCGATCTCATGAGTTGATCATCTATTGTTCGAGACAGTTCAATAATTCTCTTCTTGCTTATAATACTATTTTGCTGGAGGTGTATAATCTAAAGTTATCCAATACTATACAATGTCTATCGTAAGTGATGTCTCTGCTTTTGAGCACTCCGTCGAACCAGCTCCAGGTCCTACATTCAGGATCCGGCTATTAGCACTGGTCAATACGCTAACCAAATTTAATTTAATTTATTAACGATGTCTTCGCAAGCTGTGTTTGTCAACTGGAAAGAAGCTGTGATTGAGCTTCCGATCAAGCTACAGATTTTCAATGGTGGCAACTCTGCTGTTCCGTTTGTTACGGGCACACAAGTCGCTTGTACAATTGATCAGCTTGTTCCTAAGGCAAGTACCTGGTATATCATTGATTCCGTTCAAGTTGTTGTAGATAACGTTACTGTCCAGACAGATCAAATTCATGAAAACGTCAATGCTAGTTCATGGCGCAATGCTAGTTCATGGCGCTAGCCGAATGGGACTACAATTACGACAACAAATGGGGAATAACGAGCTACTTTGTGCGGGGTGAATGTTCCTGGTATCTTGACAACATCACAACATTCAACTGTATTAGCACCTATGTTGGCGAGTGGGGCCTTACTAACACCTTTGTGGATGCAGGTGTGTACGAGTGATCGCTATTACCGCGCTTGACCAAAAAGGAGAAAATCTTGCCTTCAATATCATGGGAGATAATGCCAGCATCCAAGCTGTGTCAAAGCCACAAGTTTATGTTTGCCCAACAGGAGCAGCCGGAACGACAATTGCTAGCTCATTATTTAGCCTGTATCAAGCTCTTCGACTTATCTACGTCAAAAAGTTGACCAATTTAAAAGAACACAAGGGTACATCAACTTCTGCTACGTCAAATTCCACGAAGGCAGCAGGTACGGTCACAGCAACAAATATCGTTCACATCATCAACACATTCATTTCTGCAACACATGCCCAAATCTCTGGAATGGCTCATCCGCAAATGTGAATCTGCTCCAGCGAGTACGATACTGACCGCTACAGCCGATGTTAACGGCAATGCCACTTCAGAAAGTAGCATTGGTCCATCGCAGACGTTCTCTCGTCTACTTGCTTCAACGCATAGCCCGAATCCATAGGTGGCAACGTTCTCATTCAAAAGAAGACGTTCTGTTTCTTTGAATGTGTGACCAACAGGTTTACTACCAAGGCGGTCAGTCATTTACATGGACGGTGATGAATGGCATTGCCAATCTAAAATAAGTGTTTAGTGGTAACTGGGTGCCACAAATCGATGTCATAAACGAAGTGTTGAAATTTAATGTGGCAATCGTCGGAAACTACTCGTCTTTGGTTTCGTCATATCATCTGAAGTCATTATTGCGGGGTAGCAGATATTCAGGTCTCTCCTATCAGAAAAAATCGTTTGGTTACGAAGTCGGTAATTTTTAGCTTGACAAGGATGCAAAATTGTTTCCGAACAACGCTAAATATATTGCGCTGGCGCCAGACAGTAAGATTTGTAATCAATTCTGCCTCGCTTTATTTATCCCTCCAACCTACAGGGCCATTGTACATTGTGTATGTCGCAACTTTGAGTTTGTTTATGATGCACTAAACTGATAGTTCTTAGTACCGAGAAGATAAGGCGCATTTGCACTCTAGTCTGAGGATAAATACCAAGAGTTGTAATTTCAGCTGCGATTGTAATATAGAAATAAATGTTTGAGTCAAACACGAAATTTTAAAAATTGCGAAAAAAGGCCCCAAAGCTTAATGAAATCTGTGCAATATACTATTTTGGTCAATCATGTCTTTATCTGAAAAAAGGATAGTTAAGTAGTCGGGCATTAATATATAGAAAAGCTTGGTTGGATGCCGAAGTGATTGTTTAGATGGGACATTTTGATCCCTGACCCAGTACCCCCACCCTTACCGAACGACGTAAGGCTAAGCGGCTGGAAAAAGAGGCACAAGCCGCTCCCACCTCCTTTCTGCAAGATCTTCAATCTATGAGCCCCAACATTACATTGGATAGCGTTGCAACACCTCGTCGTGAGGCCCACAGCAGTATTCACCTCATGACCATCTTTCTAGACCTGGCTTAGGTGGTGTAGCCGCAAGTGGAAGAATCACACCGACTTTTCCCAAATCACCACGCAATGGTCATGGCTTCGATCTGCTTGAATCTTCTCACAGCACGAGAGCGGAGCCCTTACACACTCATACGTGCGGACCGTCCGCTCACACTGAGATTGGATCTCATTTTTGTTTTTCACCAGACGCTGGTAACTCGAGGTCAACTAAGTTTTTATTGTAGAAATGGCTTAATTTTGGTCAATAAGCAACGTCAGTCGATAACGTCTCTTCCGGCTCTGTTTATTCGTGAGCTCATTCTTTTCGTTAGCAGGTCAACTATCTTCGTAAATCACAGCTATGGTTCGCAATAGAGATTGGTTAGTGATCTGATACGCCATCGCACTGCGCGACTTGAGGCTCTTTCAACAGCTCCGTATGCGTCGCTTTTTCACGGAAAAGGGTAGCTCAGCTGCAGGGGATAGTAAGGATGATATGTCGCTGGTAGCAGACAGTCTGGCTGACTCGTAAGTGTGGAATCGTGGTATGGCTTTGATAAGCCTATTCTGTTGGGTGTTCGGTTTCAAAAACAATCCGTTACGATTGTGAGCACTTCAATGCAGCTCAGTCGCTCCTCGCATATTGTTGGGATAAATTGTTTAACAACTCTCAGTGCAGTTTTCGAGAAACCGAACGCCGACAATCTTCGACAAATTGCATCGTCCAATGTGAATAATCTTGGATATGCAGGCGGGTGAGCTGCAGTAATAACACAATTTCACCCACTGAATATTCATGTGTGCTCTACCTGCATCTGTTTGCTGCTTGTGCATATATCCTCAACCCGACACATGATGCCAAACTTTACATAATAAAATTTGGTACAAAGTGATATCAGCAATTCGAACCGAGTCTTTATCCTATCCTTCCACAAGACCGCGGCGGTTGTGGTGTCCTTTAAACACAAATTAAATGTATATGAAGCTAAATGATGAATTTAGAAGTCTGGACATCTTCATTGAGCGCAAACTCAACGTTTGAGTCCATTTTGTACAAAAACAAGATTGCTCGCAAGTTCTTTGGGAAATGATTTTATCATGAAATTAGTGCATTCCGACTGTCCAGAATACTGAAAACCGCCAGCGGCGTATGTGTCCGATATAACACCTAGTACCTACAGCAAATCTTTTGGAACGTTGCTAAATGGGTCTATTATTTGACCGAATACGATCTGACGATCAGATTCCCAACAAGTTTTGTCGAGGAGCGAAATGGCCGTATCCTTTTGAAAACGGAATTCTGATAGCACACAGTGAACCATTTTGCTTAGACGATTTGCTACGACCGTAATATCAATTGTATTGAACACGTCATAAGGAGAAGTAGAACGAAAGTTCGTACTAACATACTGTCATCGCTCTACCGGAATCGGCAAACTCGCCAGAGGCAAGAACTTAACCTGTTGATACGGTTTACACAAGGGCCCACCACCTTATACACGTTAGACCACCTATAAGTGGCGCTCAGCGTGCAATATCTCTTCTTTCTTTCAGGTAAACCGCCCCCGCATCATTTCCCCGTAGAGTGTTCCGTATCCGTACTTAAGGTTATATCACGTGACACCAATTAGCACTGAGAGCCGTGTGAGTCAGTAATATTATACCACATGCCTCGATGGACTGACGACTAAATTTCTTAAATGCTTTGCACTCCAAAAAATAGAGGAATGTACCTCATGTTACGTCTAGTCCGACCGATGTACGAAACGCTGCAATATAATGGGTGAAATCACCGTCGCGCAAAGCGACACTTTACCATTACTTCGATGTGGAAGCGCATTCACCGCAAAATTAACCCCCCGTCTTATGCTCACCTACTCGGCAAAGTAGTAACAATCTTGTCATCTTGCGAGGTTGATGACGATGTCACTGTGCGCAACGATTCATGATGTGTCGGCCGCAAAGGCCTAAGAGCTAAGAAGGTGTCATTCACATTCATCGCTTCTTCGAATGAAGACAGATGCACACGAATTTGATGACAGTAATGGTATCTGACCCATCATACGTGTTGTGTGAGCCACGTACTAAACTATAGACCCTGTATAATTGTATATCCCCAATCTTGTTATATCAGGATTTGGAGGCGCTAGTCACTGTATTTTAATTTAAAGCTTTTTGGCCTTAATCAATGTCAATTCAACTTTTCCTCCTCTTGCAAGTAATTAACGGCTCGCTGGAAGTAGGCAAAGCTGAGCGAGTTGCAAACATTCCGAACATAGTTAACGTGTTAACTGAATCAAGTCTTCCACAGCAAGTTCGTGTACACGGACGGTCAATTTCAAATTCCAACGCTAACTGCTTCGATGAGTTCATCTGTGGATAATGCGGACACCACAGGCGGTGGCCGTCCTCAGATCAACAGGGAGGAATATTCACTCCTAGCACACTCGCAATAGGAGTGTGTGGTGAAGCTGCGAGCTTTGATAGAAGATCACACGGTGTCCGACATGCTCCAATTGGATCAAGTAGCGAATACTCGACGCTGCGGATAACTGGGGGGATTTCTCGCAGAACGTACCGACGCCAGTTTCGTCACCTCCATCACAGGTTGTGGTAACACACGAAACGCCCCGTGATAATCAAGGCAAAAAGCTTTCACTGGAACGAGGATGAAATCTTGCATTTTTATAGCGAGAAATGACATCGCTATCGCAATATTTTTAATTGTGGTGACCGCAGTCACGTGGCTTTTGCCTTGTCACATTACGATAGCATTGGGCGATGACATGGGAAGTCAACCGCCCAGGCTACTTTTCCACATAGCAACAAGTGGACAAGGACATTAAATTGATTTTTCTACTGCTGAAAGTGACATTTCGACAAAGGTCAAAATTTGATCCGTCAAGACAACAAGACATTTTATGACTATGTACAGAAGCTCCATGGGCTTCGTTCCAGTATGGCAAGCAAACCACTGGCAGAGGCAGTGTTTGTCACTGTATTTATGAAACGACTCACTTAGGGTCCTTTTGAGACTGAAGTCTTCCGCCAGACCCCGACGGCTCTAAATGATGCGATTAGGATTGCATTGCGTGAGGATTATTGTCAATGTCAAGCACGTGGTCGATCGATCAATCCGGTAGAAGCAGTGACTGCTACTACTGGAAACCCAGAACCAATGGATCATAGTGTGGTGACTATCCGTAAACCGCAAAATTGCTGATATGGAGGTCAACAATTTGGTCACATCAGCCGTGATTATCGATGTGGGAGGCGAACCTCTACTACAGTTCTCGTTGAAGTGGTACCAAACCTCTTGGTTATTATTACCACGAGGCGTTTGGGAAAGGCAGATGCCGAGCAGACGCAGAGCGGTCTACTGGGGCAATGACAAACGCTTGTGAGAGTTGTGGTAGAGCTACAAATAAGGGCTCAGCCCTTGAGAAATTGATTTTCTTCGTTAAAGACACGAGTTGCAGTTCTCTTCTCGTGGTCACAGCGAGTGTGAAGGATTACGGTCGTCCGTTTAGTGTCTTTATTACGCGCGGAAGAAAAGTGTTAAGGAAAATGGTTCAGTGCTTTTGGATGCACTAGATAGAAACAATGATTTTACCTAAGTGATGTTGGCCACTGGTGCGGTGATCACAACGAAGAAACTTATGGTTGATCTTCAACCGAAATTTGAAGACTTCACCTCGAAGGAAGCTATCGTATTTATATGCCAAGAACGTTATGAAGTTTCACGATCCTCGAGATGGTGAAACGGAATGACCTGTATTATTGGAATACCGTGGCTTGGGAACCACGAGCCATGGATCGAATGACGACTGAAAACATTGGTAGTAGCTCTCTAAGCATAAGTGAGACTCTTGGGAGTGATGAACCCACAATTGTTTGCACCAGAAGAAGCTTTTAAGCGCTTGGCAGTCTATGCTGCAGATAGAGATCAGCAATTCATTGGTATATGTCATGCAATTAAAATTTCCCAGGTTAAGGAAGACGAAGTCGTATGGAGTGATCACTGGTGATCACTCATGAAGTGTGTGATGCCTGAAACAGGCCACTTGAAGCGAATGAATCTTAAGTGGATATGGCGATTCGCTCCACGGAAGAATATATGAGGGAGATATGCCGGTTGTTGCCCCCCTCAAGACAGAAGAATGTTGTCGACATGTTTGTACTGGAAAGTCGAAGGAAACAACTGCGGCTGTTAAGGCCAATACTCCCAATAATACAGTGATTGAGTCGGATTGTGAGTCAGTAGGTTTTACTGATCACAATGGTGATGCTCCCACCCGTTGGGTAGTTGAGCACACACATGTGAAGGAATCAACTGAATTTGCTGATCGTGGTACTGATACACTTGCTCTTAATGCGCCCGTAACAAACGGAACAGCAGAGATGCCGCCGTTGAGAATCTGTAGCTTGATCGGTAGCTTAATCACAGCTTCTTCCCAGTTGACAAACGCAGCTTGCGAAGAGATCATGGATAAATTGAATTAGATTTGACCAGCGTATTAACCAGTTCCTATCACAAAAGAGTGTTTCAGCTGGAGCCGATCCGACGGAGTGCTCAAAAGCAGAGACATCACTTGCGGTGGACATTGTATAGTGTTAAATTACTTATGATTATAGATCTTCAGCAAATTAGTATACTGAGCAAAAAAATATTGAATTGTCTCGAACAACAGATGATCAACTCAGAAAATTTGCCAATTCTCTTGGCGTTAAGGTGGATCAACATCGATATCAAACAGAAACTAGAAAGAGCAAATACTTTTGCCTTCTCAATATTGGCACCCCACAAATCGGTTGTAGCCACGAGTGCGCTGTTTCAAACAAGAATAAAAATTTGATAGATTGGGTCTTCCAAGACCACGCGTCATCCCAAAAGACTACTCTTATCGCGAAATGGATATCAAAGATCCTCAATTTGGTCACTGTGGGCTATTCACCGTTTTTTGGCTGTACTACCTCCAGCACGGAATACAAATCGAGTTCGACAACCTGTTCAAGAAATCCATAAGTAGGCCGATCTTGAAAGATGGTACCAGAATATATAGCAAACCACATTGATACATTTGGATTCATGATGATCGGCTGCGTCTATGTGTCGAATGTAAATGGCTTCAGGCTGATTGGTGTGATTGTTGGAGTGTACACTTTGTCATAATCATCATTAATAACGACTGGCTCCTCATCAGTTGTTTCAATGTCCATTTTTTCAAGTAATATGTTTCACATAATGTAGAAACGATGTAACCATTTTCATGTTGTTCATGTGTCGTTTTCTATGATTGACGCGTAGCGCGCATCGGCTTGAACATGATGATCTGCAGCAAAATATTTTTAACACACTCGCAATTAGATCGAAATGCCTGCCGCTCCACTGAAATTGTTTCCCATCGTTGCCCATTGGCTTTGATATATTTCTTGTTGTATGATGTCTGTATTATATTCTCGATAACCTTTCTTACGCAGATGACCTATCGTAAACTAAATTATTTGTATTCGCTGCTGATTTCCTAAATTTTGCAATCCAGAGCTGTTCATATGCTTGAAGATGCTGTTGGTCGACAACCTCATAGGAGTGATCCTGAGTTTACCAATTCCAGATGTCGGAAAGTATGAAAATATTGACATATGTCTGTGCTTGCCTTCAACCCAGCGTCGAAAGTTCTTGTCAACGCCATGATAATTTGTTGATAGTAGAATCAATATAGCATATGTCGCTTTCAAAAAATGTAGACTTAGTCAGTCATTTTGTATATATAATATATAGGTATAGAAGAGAAAGAAGAGGTTTTTTGTGGAACATTAGGAACTCGGCGACTAAAACGTACCATGATCATAATTATTACTTCAAATCATGATTAGGAACTTTGTGCACTACTTAATTTTAATAAGTACAATCACTCACAAAGTGACTTGAAGCAGTATATGTTTCAGAACTTCAGGACAGCTTATTTTCGCTAACTACATCTGCTCTGGTTCGCATATGTTAAAGTGACAAATCTGGCAATGCCTGAAAATTCACATTCGGATTACATTACCACGCGCAATCTTTCTGTTGGCGTACGCTAGTGGACGGACTGCATTGATTATGGTACATCGTTTGCTCAATCTGTGTCAAGAAATGGCATCTAGAGTACTCTTAGACCCCATTAGAGACCACGCTAAATGTAGAGACCACGTTAATGTACCATAT